TGAAATGGGTGAGTGTCCGTTTCGTTCTGCTTGTCCTTCTCTCAACACGCCATATTTCTTTGCTCATATCTTACAACGTTTTATTTATTTTTTTACATATATTTCTAGGGCTTACACTGCAGCTCTTCTCCGTTTGGCCAGTTTTTACCTCGTCCACTGTGCCCCCACCTGTTTCCTCTACACCCCAACATCACTCTATTCTCTTTTCACTCACTGTCTATCCCCATGTTGAGACAAACAGGTCTGCCCAGTGTAACGAATTTGCAAGAAATCTGAATGGCTAACCTCCGTTTGTTGCCTTGACCCTTTCTTTCCTGTATCTGTCTCCTCCTGTCTGTCTCACCTACTTATTCACACCACCTTGAGTTTTACTATTTTTGATTGTGAAATTTAAGTGTTTTTCCCAAAACAGGCAGTGAATAGAGATGCTCTACGTGCTATTTGTGCATCTGTCAGTCACTATGATTACATTGCATGTTCGTGTGTGACACAATGCTGCAAGGCCAGAGGTGCGTTTGTAAATGACTGGTGTAACAGAAGGTTATGAAGTAAATGTATTCTTTAATTGCTTCAGGCTTGACAGCTGTGTCACTCATGCACAGCCACGTGCACACACTGAGACACCACAGAGTTTTGTACGACTGACATACCTTGTGCACACCAGTTCACATCCACACCTACATCTCCTCACACCTGCGACACAATAGCATGCTAATAGTGCCTACCAGCACTAGGCAGTTAGCAACACACGCATATGGGCTCCTCCTAAAGAGTCCTGGGAGGATGCGGGTGTCACTGGGGGGTCACGTCTATTCACACTGCAGTATTGATTGCAGCCAATACGTTGAATAGAAGCTAATGTTTCTTTTTAACGGCCCTATCATCTCTTTGGCAAAAGGAATACAGCACCAGCCCCTTGTAATGATTTAGACCACATCTGCCATTTTCAAACTGTATCTCAGAGTAAGAGTTACTGCCAGTCTTTTGTGTTTCATATTAGCCTTGTTTCTATGGATTTGCTGTTCGTATGGTCTGAAAGTGTTTCCACTGTCTTAATATATCTACCAGGCTGTTAGCAGGGTCCTCGGTGGCCCACAGGAGCTCCCAAAGAGTTGCTGTAGCCCTGTATGGCTCTTCATATAAATATATACATATAAGATATAAACAGAAAATTGTAATTTCTCACCAAACACTGACTTAATCTCATAGTAAAGCTCTGTTTTTCCATTCCATTGTATGTTGAGCCCACATGTTTAGCAAAACATCAGCCAAAGCATTGGAATGAAAATGTCACTGAAGCAACTGCTTTTCAGGACATCTCAGTCACAAAACTAGTAGAAAGGTATAGTTCATCAAATGGTTTCAACAAAAGCTGAGAATGTGTTTAGTGCAGGTGAAATTTTGAGAACCAAAATAGTGTATTTATTCTTATTGATCAACAACTATTTCTATGGACAATGGAAAGTTGCAGTTTGCCACTTGCTTTATTTTTTTCTATGTATCATTTGAGCACAGCAAATAATGAAAAGTTATTGTGATTGTAAAAAAAATGCTTTGTGGTCTGTGTTTGAAGTGTATGTGTGGGTGTGTGTTATCCTAGAAAACAGATTCTTTTTTACCTTGATAATACATCAAAAATACTTTACATACACTACCTTATGTAGTAATAGTATGTACTTTACAAATACAGCATGTTATGCATAGAAATACCTCGACTTGCATTTATTTACATGGGCATCTCTTCGAGTGCTAAAAAGTTTGGTGATTTGTAATGCATATATATTCAACAGGTGCACACTGTTGCATAGTAACAGAAGAGAAGACAACCTGTTGGCTGCGCAGTTTGACAAAGCTTAGCTATTTTTAGATTTAAGTAATCTTCCAGACAAAAGGCATGCTGATTTATTAGGGAACGAACAAAGAAAACACAGTAGGCGGCCAACTCTGAGCAGGCCCAGGCCAACATTAATTTTACCATCTGTCATTTGCATATCTGTGTACCTGTCTGCCTGAAGCTCTGCAGTGAGGAGGAATATCATTAAAAGGATGCTTCATTTCAGCCCCATTTAATTTGTTGGGTTAGGATTTAGATTACAAACGCATGATCAGATACTTAATGTACGAATTCCAGGAAATATTTTAGAGGACTATAGTAGGTGCACACAACAAAAAAACAGCTCCAATGTGTAGGCGTCTTTGACAAAGATAGCTTAAAATTTGAGACAGTGAGTTCACAAACAACTCACATTCATAATCACAATTTAAAGTCATTAAGCGTTGAGGGCCTAATATGACTAATGTAGAGGATAAATTTGAAGTTCATTACTTATACAAGTTTAGAATTTATTTAGGACTATGTTCTAGTGAGCGTGACATTACTTAGAGTTGGAAATAGCCACAAAAAGAGCCTTTATCTGAAATACTGATATTGTATGTGTGTGTGAGATAATGAAATGATAATATAGTTTGGACAAAGCTAGTAGGAGAGGAAAAAACATGAAAAAAGGGTCAAAACTACCTCCCCAAAACTTGATATGCATGATGTATACATGATGATTAACTAGTGACTGAAGAGTTTAACAGTAGCAATCTGTGCCACTTATGGTACATGGAGAATCAAATACTGTGGTGTCAAGGATTCTTGGAAACAACTCAGTGGAACTTCATTTGCTCAGTCTGTTTTCATAGTAATCTGGTTATATCACTTTTGTCTGGTACCTCCATAGCATAAAGACATTGGTTATGAAATCTTCAAGTTCATGAATAGACCAAGAAACATAGTATTAATATAGATTTGTAGGTAGCACGTTGCTTGGATAATTTGTGTTATTCCAATACCTCTAGGCTTGATTTCTGTATATTTCTGTAGTTCTAGTTTCTGTATAGTAAGGTTTTGTATAGTTATCTGATGGTTGCACAGCTGGATTGCAGGCAGTCTGTATAGCCTATATGTGGAGACATTTGCTTTAGTTGCTCAGTAATTACTAATGGACTATTTGGCACAGTTCTTTTAAATACTTCCTGATGAATTTTGACAAGCGAAGTAAGAGAACAGGTCTTACGTTACAGCCCCAGTGGTTTGAGTGGCAAAGTAAAGCTTGTCACAGTCAAATACCGCTCCTTGTTTCTGACCAAGAGCATGAAGCAGGATTTGAGACGTGCTCCTGCCTCAGGCACAATTGCCAGTCAAGGGCCTATGTGCCCTTCAGTGCGAGCCTCGCAAAATGTGACTTGCCCAGGATAGTGTAGAAAATGACAGTCAGCTAAGTTAGAATTGAAGTGAAAAGACAGGAGAAACGATTGGGAGAAAAGCTTGAGAGGTGCAGATGTATAATTAGATGGAGAGGATAGAAGGGATGGTTTAAGATGAGCTTGTTGAGATGAAATTGTACAGTGAGTGCAAAGGAGGATGGGGCAAACAAGCAGTGAATGCTGGAAAAGACTGAAGTGACAAGGACGAAGTAGACAGCAGGACGACAGACGAGGGGCACACGCACACAGGAATGACGGACGTGATAAAGGAGAGTGGCACAAATGTCACCATGCTAACCTTTCATGCACTCAACTTTGCACTGCTCTCTCCCCTCTCTTACAGATCAGCACCTGCCAAAGATGGACCTTGAATAGGCAACATGGAAGTCTAAATCAACTCTGCACTTTTTCTGGATAAATCTTCCCATAGGATTCAAACCAGTCAGCCAGTGGGACATACCATTGAGCGTGTGGACTTTATCAAAAATGAAATAGGTGATGCTTGATCAGTGGCATGGAGCATTCTGACCTGTCTAGATTTATGGGCTGGATATCCCATCAAGATTACGACACTTTTGTGAATGCTGTGGAAGTCCCCCACATTGGCTTGTGGGCAAAAGCGAGTAATTGAAAAATCCCCCTTGAGAACCTCTCCATTTTGATTTGTTGTTCAGAAAGAGCATTTATATATTTTCCCTCTTTACTGAAGAGCAGTTTTAACAAAACAGCTTTTATCCTACCCTTTCTACCCTTTTGCTACGGTCTCCTCTCACATTGCAGAGAAATACATTATGAAGCAGCGCCATTCTTCTTCATCCTCCCTCAGTGACGGAAAGAGAGGAGGGACACACTGTCCAGAATAGATAACGAGCAAAGGAAGGAGGCACAGTGAAAAATCAAAAGTAGACTAAAAGAATATTGTTGAAAATCTGTGTGAAAAGGTTTTATTCCTTTTCTATTTGTTAATTGTTAGCGCCATGTGTAGTGGAGGGGTTAGGAAATACAACCAGAGTGGGGCACTGGTAGGGAAACGATTGAAAGATGGCCTGGTAAAGAGACAGCAGTGAGTGAAAGTAGAGCTCTGAGGCGGGTAAGACGGGTGAATACAGGCAGACAGGTAAACAGGCAGGACCCAGTGTTAGGCACAGTGCCAGGCAGACATCCAGTGGCGACACAGTCATTGTCATTCTGCGCACCGTCTGAGGGAAACAACTCAAGGGAAGAATCCAAGGGGAAAAAAAGAGAGGATTCCGGTTTTGGTAGCATCTGGAGATCCCATCCAGTATCAAAATCCCATGCATTGAAGGCATAAGGCAGTCAGGCAGGGAGGAGAGAGAGAGAGACTGCCGTCGGAAAGGGGAATAGGGAGAGAGCAGGTGTCGGAAATCCTCCCCTTCATCTGCTTGTCATTTACTTCTTTATGTTTTCCCCTCGTCTGGTGAGCTGATTGGTTTTCTAACGCTAGCGGGCCTGTGCTGCAATCCTGACAAATAAACAGAAAGACAAACTAAAAAAGTCAAAAGAGGAGACTGCTTGACTCAGTTTTTCGCAGCTTCCTTTTTTTCTAAAGATAAGACGAAAACAACACACCAATCAATCCCTCATTTTCGTCTGACCAGAACTGATCCGGATCTTGTTTCAAAGGGATTATTTCTGGATTCTGTGGTTTTTCGGTCCCACTGTGACACTTTGAGACTCTGTGACCCCCACGCCCCCCTGCACGGGGCTGAAGTGCTAAAATCCAACTTCCCATCAAGATCCCGGAGCCTGCTACTACTACAGCGATAATATGGAACAGCACTTCTGATACTGTCTCATTCATTCTGTAAGTAAACCTCTCCCATTGTCTACATATATGTGTGCATGTTGTTAGCATACATATTTGAATCATGAATGTGTGCGTGTGAGAAACAGACGTATTTTTTCCGCAGTGTTCCTTCTGTAATGTCTTCTCAGTAAATTTGCTTTCCTTTGCGTCCTTTCACCTCAGGCTGTTTGTATGTCTTCTCAGAGATCCAGTATAGTGGGGATAAGGGGAAGCCTTTTACAGCAAAAGTGTGGACATATATATCTGGGGAATTGTATTAATATATTTGTTAAGGGTTGCTTTTTGAGGTACTATATAGTGTCACTATGGATTATTTCTATAGGTAATGTATAGTTCCTGTGGTTTTTGGGTGCTATTATTGAATTATATGTTAATGGAGTCATTTCCTGCACTGATAGATTTTATAAGTGTGTCATATTTGGTGAGTTTGAATGGAGCCCTTGCCTTGAGTTTATAATGTTTTTTCTTTTTCTTATTCTCATTGTCTTTAGAGATAGATCATTTGATTTCCTGCTCTTAAAAAACGTGTATTTTTAACAATTTGCTCACAAGGGCTTGCTGATGTTGCAGGTTTTTTTCCACATTCTGACTTAGCTCAGTTTTTCAAAAACAAATAAAATGGCTTTCAACATTGATTGCATGAACATAAACAAGACATACTTAGAGTCAGTGCTATTTGAAACAAAAAGCCCCATTTCTGCCTCCAAACCACATGATTTTACTCAGAGGATTGGCTGTAGACCTCTTGATTGGCAAGCTCCAGGCAGATCACTGACAATTTGAAATGACTGCCCAGCCCTAATGCTTTTTAAGATGTGAATACTCGGGTAGTCTTTATTTGCACACAGCAACAGACCACATACATTAGTCTTTTTACCCACTGATAATAGGAGTGTGCAAAAATATTGAAATATATATCTATATATATTGTAATATCAATATCGTGTGTGGGCTGCTGTATCGATATATAGGCAAGAATAATTTTTTATTCTTTTAGCAATATTTTTGTGACCACACTACTTTTGTTCAGTTTTAGGTTTAGTTCATGCAATACGCTTGACATATTCACTGTTTTGTTGATTAAAATATATTTATTTCATATTAACTTTGCACAGGTAGTGGTTTGTCAAAGAAATAATGTTTCTAAAATGTATTTGGTTCTTAAAAAACAGCAATATATCTCAGAGTATCTTGTGCGATATATATCAATTAGTGCATGTATCACCATATTGTGATAATATCATATCGTGAGCCGTGTATCGTATCGAATCATGAAGAACCCTGTGATTCCAGCCCTACAGTGAAAATGCGGCGTTTCCTTTTTGAAGCGTGTTGTGCTTGTGTAAAAAGGTTAAATGGCTACATTCAAGTAGTGGAATTGAAGGTCAAGCTAAAATAAATGTTTTTTGTCAACGCATGCCCTCACAAAACTTTCAAAGTAAGCGTATGTGTGTGCCTGCCAAAGAGGAGATTTTGATCTTCCAGCCAAGCTTACAACAGCATCCGAGTGGTGTCTGAAAGCAGTATGCAAGCTTCCCCTCTGTGCGTTTGGAGATGTGTGTTGCCTTCATACTGGTCCTGGGGTTAATTTCAACTAATTAGTGGTGAGTATTTTGCTTCTTAGAGCAGTTTTGGTTCTGTGTCAGTGTACTTATTCATTAATGTGAGACTGAAAGTAGCTGAACTGTGGAGGGTGCACCAGCTAATGAGACTGACTACGTTTCTAGTTCTTTGTTGCGTTCCCTTTTTACGCTTAACGCCCCTAGCGTGACATCCAGCTGCCATGAAATCCAGTGTCATTCCGGACTGCTTTTTATCTCCCTATGTGTTGCCACAGTCTGGGCCACCGCAATGTCCTGCATATTACTGCTCCCATCTTTCGCCATGGTCACATCCACATCTTTATACACTCCCACAGTCCACCAGGCCTTGCACCCAGAGACGCTCAATCAAGATAGTCCCTTCAAACAGCCCAATGAACTGTGAATAACGCCATTACACAAACTCCCAGCTCGGAGCATCGCAAAAATATTGGGAGGGTGGACCAGGAGGATGCAACAGAGGGAGAAATAGGAAGAAAAACATTGTGGAGATTCAAGAACAACAGCGGAGGGCGGTAGAGTGAAGGATGCTGGGAGATGGAGGGGGTGTGTGTAGAGTTCGTGGAGCAGTAAAAGACCTCTGCTTCATGGGATCACTCTGATGGGCTTAGCTGAGTCCCACCACGTTGCCACTTGGTCAGCCTCTCTGAATGAAGATGACTAAATAATACGATTACGACAGCAGTGCAGAGATAACACAACATGTTCTATCCCTTTTGTCACTGTCACAGAAGCAGTAAAGAGACGAGGAGTGGCATGTGATGACATTAAAAACATGACTGCACGAAGAGCTTAGCATGGACTGTGAGCTTGTGACTGGAAACCGAAATCGCATTTGTGTAGTGGACCCCGAAGAATCTTGTGAACAGTAGAGCAGTGGTAAAAGGAAAATGTATTATTTTTTATTATTATACAAAACATACAGATTATTTCCTCAAGACATTATAGACATGACTGCACGAAGAGCTTAGCATGGACTGTGAGCTTGTGATGGGAAACAGAATTCACATTGGTGTAGTGGACCCCGAAGAATCTTTTTTCATATTGTGTACAGTAGAGCAGTGGTATTGTAAGGCATTGTTTTTGTGTTGGATTATATAGCTCCCTCATATCTCCATATTGTTTCTATGTGGGATTTAAAGGTGCATTGTGTAACTTTTCTGGTGGAGGGTCTGTCAAATGATTTTTTCCATAGAGATGTTATTGTTATTGTTTGGAATGTTTCACAGTATGGCTATAAGCCTTTCTGCCATCATGGAGACCAGATCTGTGGAGTGGCAACCCCGCTCACAGTCAATATGCCTGTTTTTCTAGGTAATTTTGAGCAAACCACCTTGAAGTGAATTAATGTAAAGTAGATCTGTTTAATGTCATACTGTGGAACATTCCAAGCAGAGCAATGACATTTCCATAGAAACAAGAAGGTGACAGGCAAACCTACCAAAAAGTGACATAATACACCTTTAACTGAAGCTTAAATGTGCTTCAAAATGAAAAATACAGTAAGAAAATATATTTGAAAGCCTTATAAGATATACAGTTTGAAATGCATTGTTTTTAACTCAAATCAGTTTTTCAACAGCTGCTGTTAGCTTCATCCGAACAAAGTGGATTTGTATGTAAATATCTTCTTGGATTTGGAGTTTTCTTGCTCTGTCACATAAAAAAGACCTTTATTTCAGAAAACATTGCCAAGTGGAAAAGTAGGGATGCATGGGGAGAATGACAAAAATGAATATGCATTTTTAATCAGCTCTATTGGAATATAATAAATTATATACTTGAATCTTGATATTAAGATTTTGTATCTTCAACACATAAAGCCATCTGTAAGGACATGTAATATTTTTTTATTATTCTACAAAATATACAGATATTTCCTCAAGACATTAAAGACACAACTGTACAAAGAGTTATAACAGTATGGACTGTGAATGGGAAGCAGAACTCATTTGTGCAGTTGTCCATATTGTTTCTATATGGGATTTAATTGAATATATAGTTCAGACTAAATGTGCTTCAAAATGTAGTAAGAAAATGTATTTTAAAGCCTTATAAGCAATACATTTTGAAATGCATTGTTTTTAACTCAAATGAGTTTGGGGCCCACTTTCAACAGCTGCTGATAGCGACATCTAAACCAAGTGGATTTGAATGGAAATATCTTATTGGATATGGAGTTTTCTTGCTCTGTCACATAAAAAAGACCTTTATTTCAGAAAACAGTGTCATTGCCAAGTAGAAATGTAAGGGTGCATGGGCAGCAAAAATGACAAAAATGAATGTATATTTTGAATCAGCTATATTGAGAGCATTTTGTATGAACAATATACTTGAACCTCGAGATTAACATTCTGCATATCTTCAAAACAACATTCACATATATACAGTATTTCAGTAAAGACATTTCTAAGGAGATGTAGAATTTTTGATAATTCTGTATTACATACATATATTTCCCCAAGAGGTTTAAGCTGCTTTGGGAAACAGAACACAATGGTGTAGTGGACCTCGAAGACTCTTATTTCATGTTATAGTTGTTGTTTTTGAACTGGATTATATAGCCCCCTCATATCTGCATATGTTTCAAGTTGGGATTTCATTGAATATCTTGCAGATTAAATGTGCTTCAAACTGCAAAATACAGTAAGAAAATTAAGACTTTTTTGTTATTCTTTACATATTTGTCCTCAAGAGGTTTAAGCTGCTTTGTAAAGTTGCCCACTGTTCACATAAACATTCATATTATCTCTATCTTCTCTACCACACATCTGGCCTGTCTGTAAGCACATAACTCCTGCATACAGTGACTATGTTAAATTATTGCACATGCATGGACATAAACCAAGTGCTGGTGGGGAGGCGGCTGCATCTTATCTCTGAGCTTTACACACCATAGTCTGCGTGGGCTATTTGTTTCATGTTTCCACGCTTGACAGCTTTGACACGGATTCCTGCCAAGTTGACCTTGCAGTTTAAAGTGTAATAAAAGCTGAATTCCCAGGCTATGTTGCACATCGATACATGTTCTTCTGCTAGCTGATAAATTGTCTTACTTGCTCTTGGGAATAGGGCAAAAACAAGCAGGCTGCAGAACGTTATGTCCAGTCTAGCACAGTGGTGGTAAAGTGCTACCATTGCCCAGTGTAGTGAGCTAATATGAGGCTTGGGATGATCTCGAACCCCCTCCTAAGAGATATGAAGTATCTCTACTCTTCTCCCAGCATGAACCACCATTTGCCTGCAGTGCTAAAGATTAGCTTGAAGCAGGAAATAGAAAAGACACTGTTAGCATGTGACGGTGTAAGGGAGAGCAGAACATAAGACAGTATAAAATGGGGTGGTGCAGCAGTGATTAACAGAAGCCTGCACCATTAACAGTGGTTAGCCATCTGT